TCGGGTGAGGTGCATAATCTCGAATGCCAGGGCTGCACAAGCCCCGTTTCCATCCAATCCGTGAGGCAGTGGGCGAAGTCAATGTTTGTGTTGTCAGGTTTCTGCAGGGCCCAGCTACTGGCGCTGATGGCGGAGGTCGTCATGGTCGACACTAACAGCACCAAGAAGATCTTGCCCGACTGGGGCGCCGTCGTGGACCAGCAGTCGGGCGAGCTCAACGAGAAGTTGGCGGTCAAGCAGTTCAACAACTTGGATCAGACCGTTGCTGAGTACAATCGTACTCACAAGCACTTGAGTTGGCTTTCGAGGGCGGGCGCGATGCTGCAGCTGGGTCCGACAGTCCAGCACCACGAGATCACGTCGGAGACCGTCGCCGTTACCATGGCGTGCTTGGCCACGGGTTTTCAATGGTTTCGCTGGGCCGCATCGTGGCTGGCATGTCAGTCGGGCACTCCCCACTTGATTGACATAACGGATCCTTCCCGTCCCTCTCTTTGCCCTCCTAATCTACATCTTCTCCACTGGAGTGCTCCGACCGACTGCCCACCCAGATGCGCATCCCACGCATTCATTGAGTAGCCCTGCAGGGGAAGACGAAGCAGGTGATCACCATGACCAAGGGCATCAAGATGCTGAATGCCCTGCGCCAGGACCCTGGCGGGCCCGAGCGCGCCAATAACTTCGTGACGGAGAACGAGGGGAAGAGCCCTGACATCCCCAAGGGGTTCTGGGACGAGCTGGAGTCCATCGCGGCCGAGAGCAGGCGCGCCGAGGAGAGCGCCTCGGTGAAGGACAAGTCCGCGGCTGGCAGCGCCAAGCGCGGCTCCGCGCAGCAGTCGCCGCCGCCCAAGGGCGGCGCCGCGACGCGGGAGTGGCCTTCGCCTTCGGTTACCAAGGCCACGCAGGAGCAGGCGGTCGGGACGGGCGCCGCCGCTGGCGCGTCTGAGGGGGGCAGCAGCAGCCCCGCGGCAGCAGGGCAGCCGCCCCGCCCAGCCGCCAAGGGAAGGGGCCTGAAGCGCACACAGATTGAGCAGTAGACACTTTTTGCCAGAAGTAACTTTGGGGCGGGGGAAGGGCTCGATCACATAGTACAGCAGGTAAGTTTAGGATGGATGGGGCGGGGGGTCAGCGCGGGCGTTGGCGGGGGGGGCGATTATGATGAAGAGGGGGGGCCGCCATGCGCGATGCGCCCTGCTCGACCCGACCAGACGGCGCGACCAGGGGTGATGTCAGCATGTTCCTCGGGTGGCCCTCCGAGTAGATAGTCCAGGACTCGTTGCATCGTGCGCGCACGGAGGGAAGTTGCTCCTGTTTCTATGCCCTCGGGTTTTCGAGCAAAGGGATTGCGTGCGACGGGGTGCCTCGCTCGTTGCTTGCCGCCTGTTGCCGCCACATCTAGACCCGACGCCCGGCCAGCCCCGACGGGCACAGCGCGTCGCTGCGTAGCGCGGCGGGCGCTGCGCAGAGGGGCGCAGCGTCGATGGAGGTGGTTTGAGCGAGGCGGGGATCGCACGCTAGGAAAGAGTGAAAATGAGCATGTGGAGTTAGATGCGTCCTGTTGTCGTTGGCTGGTCGAGTTGCCTCCCGTGATGGCTGCACGGGTGGGGGCGCGGGCCTTGCCGCGCATGTCCCGCGCGAGGGGTCCTCGCAGTGGCAGCGAACCTCAATCACGCAGCCATCACGGGAGGCAGCGTCGACCAGCCAACGACAACAGGACAGCGGAGGGATGCGGCGAGACGGAGGCGTCGGCGGCCACGGATGGCCATGGTCATTTGCGTGGTTGATGCCCATGGCCTTCGCCTTTCCCCATCCTCTCCCTCTCCCTCTTCTGTTCCGGAGCCTCTTGAATTCAGCTCTGTCCTCCTTCCCTTATCCACCCTCCAGTTTCTCCGTCCCGGTCCCTCGCTCCCCCCCCTCCCTCGCCCTCGCACCTCCGCCCATCTTCCGAGCCGCTTTTGAGACGGAGGCTCGGCGCGGCTATACAGCGTCGCCACGGTCTTTGGCTTCTGGGGGGGCGCCGTGTCCACGATGCCGCGTCGCGAACCTTTC